TGTCATTCATACCGGTAAGAGAGTTAATAATTTATATGTTTTATCTGCCTCCAATTCATATATTGAGAAGATGAGTAGCAATGATACTGCATATCTATGGCATGCTAGACTTGGGTATCTTAACATGGAAAATTTAAAAATGGTAAAATTGAATCTAGCAAAAGGATTACCTAACTTAAGCAATTTTGTTGGAGTAGAAATTTGTGATGGATATCAATGCGGAAAGGCACATCGTCTTTCATTTGATAGGTCCTTGTCAAGATGCATTGGTTTACTAGAGCTAATTCATAGTGATTTGATAGGGTGAACAAGAACTCCTTCATTCTCCGGTTGTTCTTATTTGCTAATTTTTATTGATGGTTTTACTAGATTAACATGGGTTTATTTTGTGAAGCACAAATCTGAAGTTCTCAACAAGCTTATGGAATTTCAAGGAAACAGTTGAAGGCGAGCTTGGCTCAAGACAAAAGAGGTTGAGAACAGATAATGGTGGTGAGTACACTTCTAAGGAATTTCTCTCTTTTTGTCGTCAACATGGAATTAAAAGAGAACTTACTTGTGCTGATGCGCCACAACAAAATGGAGTGACAAAAATAAAGAGTCGACATTTAATAGAGACATGTAAAAGTTGGCTTCATGCCAAAAATTCACCTAGAGCCCTGTGGGCTGAAGGTATGAAATGTGCAACTTATGTGATCAACAAGATTCCACTTTCTCCAAACAACATGAAGTCTTTCTAGGAATTAATGTTTGGAGAAAAGCCTAACATCAAACACCTAAGAGTGTTTGGCTCTATCTGTTATGTTCATATCCCTGTTTCTCAACGGAGCAAATTTGGATCCCAAGGCAAGAAAATGCATCTTTGTTGGATATGATTAAAGTAAAAAGGCTTGAAAGTACATGGATTCAAAAACTCATCGTTTTGTTGTTTCTGAGGATGTCATATTTGATGAAACCTCCTTGTATTATGGAGTTGTATCAAAATGAGAGGGTTCTAAAATATTGAACCCCGGAATGTCAAACTTGCCCATCACAAGTGCTTCCCTAGGTAATACAGATGTTAAGGAGCTAAGCAAAATGGGGAGCTTGAAAACTCAACAAGAAGATGAGGTTTACGTATTCTTGTTTCTTTGCAGGGCCAATTTAGGATGAAGAACCTTCATCTTTTAAAGAAGCTAAAGGAGTCAAAGAGTGGAAGTTTTCCATGGATGATGAAATGAAGGCTCTAATAAAAAAAAACCTAACTTGGAGCCTTGTGCAGCAACCAAGAGATGTACAACCTTTTTTTTGCAAATGGGTTTACAAATCAAAAGAAGAGCAGATTTCAACATAGACAAATATAAAGCTAAATTGGTTGCTCGAGGCTTTTCTCAAATATGGAGAAGAGTCGAAGAAACCTTCAGTCTTGTGGCTAAGATGATCTTAGTTTGAGTTGTACTAGCCATGACAACCTCTTATGGTTGGAAACTATGGCAACTTGACGTGAAGAATGCTTTCTTATATGTAGAACTTGAAAAAGATATTTATATGGAGCAACCACTTGGGTATGTTTCTAACTTATATCCTGATTATGTTTGCAAACTTAAAAAAATACTTTATGGACTCAAGCAAGCTCCACGAGCATAGTATGGAAAAATTGCTTAATATCTATATTTTGTGGCTACACCGCATCATATTCAGATCCTAGCTTGTTTGTTAAGAAAAAAGTAGATTTGCATATGATTGTTCTCTTGTACGTGGATGACATGATAATAACATGAAAAAATGATGAGGAAGTTGCAAGGCTTCAAGGAGAGCTTTCCCTAAGATTTGATATCAAGAAGTTAGGAGAATTACATCATTTTTTTGGATTAGAGGTAACAAACACGGATAAAGGGATCTTTGTTACCCAAGAAGGGTATTCCAAGAAGCTTGTGGACAGCTTTGGGGTGAAACAAAGCAAAATGTGCTCTACGCCTCTGGAGACTGGCACAAGGTTAACACATGAAGAAGGCTCACTTCTTGCAGATCCCAAGCCTTTTCGAGCTCTAGTTTGAAGTCTCTTGTATTTGACTATTACAAGGCCAAATGCTTTTTCTGTTAGATATGTAATAGATCTATGTAGTCACCAAGAAAGCCACACATGGAAGCTGCAAAGAGGATTCTAAAGTATATAAACTCAACATCAGATATGACCTATTTTTTAAAGAATGACTTGGTATTAATCGGGTATACTGACACAAATTTTGGTGGTAATATGGATAATAGAAGATCTACATCAGGCTATATTTTTCTCTGTGGCGGAACATGGATTTCTTAGTGCAGCAGGAAGCATGACTCAATTTCTTTGTGAACTACAAAGGCGGAATATAAAGCAGCAACTCTTACTGCTCAAGAATGTGTATGGCTCCAAAGACTTCCTGAAGATTCACATCTATCTATATCAAAGCCAACTACGATCTTTGGAGACAACCAAAGTGCCATCAAGCTCGCAAACAATCTGATATTTCATGCAAGAACTAAGCATATTGAGGTGGAACATCATTTCATTCGAGAAAAAGTTATGATGGAACTATATATATAATTCGGAGGTACGAAGTCAGGAGAATATTGTTGACATCTTCACCAAGTCACTTCCAAAAGCTTCATTTGAGTTCTTTCGCGACCAGATTGGGATAGTTTTGAAAAATCACTTAAAGGGGGAGTATGAAAAAAAATTAAAGATGATTTTTTTGAATAACATAGATATCTCTAGAATGTCCAAGTATAGAAAAATAGAAAATTACCTTAACGAAATATCTAGATATTCTAGAGAAGTTGCCTTGAAGAATTATCTAGATATTCTAGAGAAATTGCTAGAAGATAAGTTCACTAGAGCTTTCTTGTAGATATTCTAGAGAATATATTTTTGTAGTAAATGAAATAATAATCTAGAGCTTGTAATATCTAGAACCATCCCCACACAAGTATAAATTAGGGGTGGACTTATTCATTTGTAACCAACCCCCCCCCCCCCCCCCCCAAACCCAAAGGGCAATTAAAGAGTCTTCTTCCATTACAAAGTTCTTCATTCCAAATTCTTCCTTTAACTTTCTAGCTTTCTCTTCTTAAGTTGAATCTTTCGATCTTAATTAACGATCTTGGGCTAGCAGAAGGTCTTATCGACTATACTTTTATTTTGCTATTCTCTTCATGCTCCTCAAATCAAACGTCTCTCCTCATCATTCCGTTCCGAATTTGTTGAAGATTGGGAATAATTTGAAGCATATTCTTTATCCTCTGGAGAAATTTGAATTCAAATTTGGAATTTGTCCTAACCCTTATCCGTTCTTCGACTCCCCTACCCCCCAAATTTGGAGCATCATTTCATTCGAGAAAAAGTTCTTGATGGAACTACATATACTTCGGAGGTACGAAGTCAGGAGAATATTGTTGATATCTTCACCAAGTCACTTCCAAAAGCTTCATTTTAGTTCTTCCGCGACCAGATTGGAATAGTTTTGAAAAATCACTTAAAAGGGGAGTATGAAAAAAAATTAAAGATGATTTTTTTGAATAACATAGATTTCTCTAGAATGTCCAAGTATAGAAAAATAGAAAATTACCTTAACGAAATATCTAGATATTCTAGAGAAGTTGCCTTGAAGAATTATCTAGATATTCTAGAGAAATTGCTAGAAGATAAGTTCACTTGAACTTTCTTGTAGATATTCTAGAGAAGATATTTTTGTAGTAAATGAAAGAAATCTAGAGCTTGTAATATCTTGACCCATCCCCACACAAGTATAATTATGGGAGGCCTTATTCATTTGTAACCATCCAATTTTTATTTTTTTTTAAAATCCAATTAAAGAGTTTTCTTCCATTACAGAGTTCTTCGTTCCATATTCTTCCTTTAACTTTCTAGCTTCCTCTTCTTTAGTTGAATCTGCTAATCTTAGTTAACGATCTTGTGCTAGCAGAAGGTCTCATCGAGTATACTTTTCTTTTGCTATTCTCTTCATGTTCCTCGAATTAGACGTCTCTCCTCATCAATCTTTTATGAATTTATCGAAGATTGGGAATAATTTAAGGCATATTCTTTATCCTTAGGAGAAATTTGAATTCAAATTTGGAATTCGTCCTATCCCTTATCCGTTCTCCGACTCCCCCCCCCCCTCCCCCTTATTTGGAACATCATTTGATTCGAGAAAAAGTTCTTGATGGAACTATATATACTTCGAAGGTACGAAGTCAGGAGAATATTGTTGATATCTTCACCAAGTCACTTCCAAAAGTTTCATTTGATTTCTTCTGCGACCATATTGGAATAGTTTTGAAAAATCACTTTAAGGGGGAGTGTGAAAAAAGTTAAAGATTAGAATAGTTTTGAAAAATCACTTTAGGGGGAAGTGTGAAAAAAGTTAAAGATGATTTTTTTGCATGACATAGATTTCTCTAGAATTTCATAGTATAGAAACACATAGAATTATCTTATAGAAATATCTAGATATTCTAGAGAAATTTCCCTGAAGAATTATCTAGATATTCTAGAAAAATTGCTAGAAGATAAGTTCACTAGAACTTTCTTGGTGATATTTTAGAGAAGATATTTTTGTAGTAAATGAAAGAATAATCTAGAGCTTGTAATAGCTAGAACCATCCCACACAAGTATAAATAGGGGTGACCTTATTCATTTGTAACCAACACAAAAAAACAAATCCAATTAAAGAGTTTCTTCCATTATAAAGTTCTTCTTCCCAAATTCTTATTTAACTTTCTAGCTTCCTCTTCTTTAGTTTGAATCTTTTGATCTTTGTTAACGATTTTGGACTAGCGAAAGGTCTCATCGAGTATACTTTTCTTCTGCTATTCTATTCATGCTACTCGAATCAAACGTCTCTCCTCATCAATCCCTTCCAAATTTATTGAAGATTGGGAATAATTTGAAGCATGTTCTTTGTCCTCAAGAGAAATTTGAATTCAAATCTGACAATTATTAGAGAGTTTGGAGACAGAAGAGACACACAGAGATATAGATTCATAAAAAAGAAATTGATTTCTATAGTTACTAAGTTAAGAATTTTGAGTCTCGGGGTCTCATTTTGAAGCTTTTCGTCGGAGATTTCATTCTTAACAGGTGAAGTCATCTTCAACTTGGTCTTCTCAGCTTCGCTGCTCCATAAAATGTATGCAAGCTTGCTACTCTTAAGTCCTCTTTCTCGTATCAGCTTTGCTTGTTTTGTTTTAGTTGATTATTTGTTTGATAATTTTCAGTAAAGGATGGGATTCTGCCTGTTGTTCTTGACATGATTTGAATGTTTTAGTTGATTATTCATATTGGCAGAAGTAATTTCCTTTTCTTTTTTCTTTAGCTCTTGGTTTTTAATATGTTTTAGTATGTAGTTTACTTGTAGGTTTAATTGTTAGATAATATTTCTAGTATCGTAGTAATGTCTTACATGTTTGATATTTTGAACCACAAGATTGTTTTTCACTTGTGTTTCCTTTGGAATGCCATGAATTAAGGTTGCGTATCGATCGGTTCGATTCGGTTTTGAAGTTTATTAGTTTGGCTTATTGGTTATCGATTTGTAGAGATGCTAAACCGTTATAGAATCATTAAGATATTAGCTTATCGATTATTGGTTTATCGGTTATTGATCGTTATCGGTTTAACCGTTAAGATTTGACAAACAAAAAAATTTGAAAATCACTTGGAAACAAGGTGACAAACCAAATGAACCATACATGAGTTCACAAGTTACATCTTGCTCAAAATCAAACACTTTTACATTGTAGAACAACCAAGTGTGTTTGAGACAACCAGAAATAAAAGTAGGAAATCAAACTCTAAGTCAGGGACTTTATATACAAAATGATATAAATATAATTATTTAATTTACTATCGGATTATCGGTTAACCCGTTAAGAAAAAACCTCAAACCGTTTAAGAACCGATAACCCGATAACAAAAAAAAATCAAAACCGTTATCAAAACTGCTAAACCAATAACCCATTACTGATAAATCAATAACTTTTTTTCGGTTCGGGTTATCGGTTTCGGTTCGATTTTGAACAACCCTACCATGAATAGTTTGAGTTTGATCCTTAGCACTTCCCTTGAATTAATTAAATTTCTAATCCTATGAATGGATAAATTTAAGTTGTTAAATCTTTGTGAAGTTGCTTCCAAGATTGATAAACCATGAGCGTAGTTCATATGATTACAAATGTCCACCTGAACTTCCACACTTAGCATAGTTTATTTTTTGGTGTGAGTTGATTATGTTTGAGTTTTTTATTTTTGGCTTCCCACCTGGTGTTCGGAGTCCACATTAGAACTCCGACTAAATCTTGATCGCGCACTGCAGGGCTCATTCGGGGAGCACTTCCAACAAGATATTTTTCATACCTAGGACTTGAACCCGAGATCTCTGGTTAAGGATGAAGCAGTCCCACCACTGCACCACAACCCGTTTTGAATGTGTTTTTCCCTCAAATTATTGAATTTTCCCTTGCACTAATGTGGTTCCTATTTTTCTTTGTCGTATGAATCCCTCCGCCAGTCCACTGGACTCTATTTTGCATTTCCTAATGGGCCACAAAGGCCCAAAAGTCTTTTTCTTCGAGTCTATCTCATCTCATGGGAAATAAGTATGCACAGTTAAAATGGAAGCTAATATACCGGGTTTAAAGGTTGAAAATGGGTTGTATACACCTATATATAGCTTATATACAGAGATAGTGGGAAAAATGGGCTATATATAACCTATATATAGCTTATATACAGAGATATAGGGAAAAATAGGCTGTATACAGACAATATGTACTGGTATATAATGTTGATATACACTTGATATATTTTAATCTAAAGAGATGTATACTTGATAAAAGGACGAAAAATGGGCTAGAAAAGCCCAAGTGTAACACCACTCCAAAAGAGGACTAAAATGGACAGATTTCAAAGCGAAGTTTGGGCCAAAGCAAGGCCCAATCGGTGCAACTTAATTTAGAATTTAGGACAAGTTTGGGCCTGCTAGCCCAACAGCTTTGAATTTGGGCAAAAAGGCCCAAGTTTGAAAATGTTCTTTACTTTATTATTGTTATTTGCTTGTTCTTATTCTTGTATTAAAACTCTTAACTTCAAATGCCTAGTTTAATTTGATTAAATCTCCCTAAAGATGAACCTTTCATGTTAATTTAATCTTTTAAATGATTTTATTTGATTACCTTTCCTTACTTGGTCATTTTTGATAAAGTTTACTCTCTTCCCGAATCATTTCAAGTATTTAAAGTTAATTTCTTTTTAAATAGTTTTAAATGCCTTAATTTATTTCAAAAGTCATTTTCCCAAAGTTAGTTAAATAGTTTTCAAATCGTCGGATAACTGCACGTTAGCGGTTACTTTAAATGCTAATACCTTCTTAAAACATAGATAAGAACCTCTTATCCATTTTCTCTAAAATATTAAAGGTTTATCTGTTAAGATCTTTTTAAATTAAGTTTTCTTAATTTCTTTAAAAAATTAAGTGGTCACTCTTTTTTTTAAAGTATTTTCTTAAGTTGTTTTATACTTAGGATATTTCAAAAGAGGTTTTTTCTAAAAGATATTAAAATCATGACGTATTTGATGACTTACTCAATTATAAGTTAAATAAATGTTTGCATTAAATGATATTTGACATTTGAGATAACATAAATGTTTTCATTAAATATGACTAATCCTATTTGATGTTTTTTAGGTAAAAAGTCTATGTCAATTTACTCTACTAAGATGAAAAAAAAAGTTTGAAACATTATATAAAGATGAATCATAAAAAGCAAAAATCAACACATTTGAAGAAAAATCATATTATTTTCAGTTTCATCATGAATAACTTTCATTTCTTCATGTTTGTTGTTGTTCTTCTCCTTCTCAATACATCAGTAGAAGTTGGGGCAATCAGGAATGAGAATATTTCTGTCAATTCGTTAAAAATCAAAGAGATTTATCGATCTCTGGTAGAGTTAACAACTTCCAAAAATTTGAAGGCATCCATGCGTTCAGCTCCTGGAGGACCAAATCCACAACACCATCCTCCACGTTCCAAGTATGCGCCAAATAAATTTGGGTACACTCAAACCCAATATGACAAAGAGTTAACTTTTTAGAGAAAAACTTCATAAGATGTAATATATTGAATTATGCATTTCAATTTTAATTTTTACAGTATCTTATATGAGTGTTTTTATGTTTTTAATTTTTTTTATTATGTTGCTTGGAATTATGTCAGTTTGGATCAATTTATTATAAGGTATTTGTTGTGTGGTATCATCCTCAACATAACATTTTCGCATCATAATATTTAAAAAATCTCATCACAAGTATAAATAAATACTTAAAAATATTTTCTTAAACATAGAAAATTAAAATTACTTGCTCTCATTGTAATTTTGAAAGAAGACGATGAAAAAAAATTAAGCATGTATCAAATTTATCATTTTATTTAGTAAATTAAGTTTATATTTTTTAAAATAAAGAATATAATTTTTTTAATAGCTAATTTGTATAATTTTATATTTATAACGGCATGTTCTGTCGTTATTCAAAAGGTACCTCGTGCGTAACCTCAATTTATTTTGAAAATATGTTGCAAATTTAAATTGGGGTGACACAACAAAGATTTCAAAATTTGAATTTGATCCAAGCTAATGTTAGTCGCCATAGCAGGAAAATTCCCGCTAATGGCACTGTTGTTGTAGTGGCTTGATGGCTGCTATAGCAGGGCTGACGAGACCAAAACCTAGAAAATACATAGATGGGGATTATTCCAAAAAATCCTCCTAGGTTTCTCCAAGTTTGGGAATAATAAAGAAAAAAAGATTTCAACAGGGGAGGGGGGGAAGGGGGGGGGGTCAGAACCCATGAATTTCCGGCCTACTTCCATTAGGATTTGGCCCCACAAAGCTAAAAGTTCGCATTTAGGTTTCTTTAGCAGTTTCTTGGCGTCTAGGTAGGCTAGGCTTAACTGAGTAGTTAGATCTGTCTCTAAATGCATGATATGTGTAGATTGATGGGAAATTTCATGCTTAGACCTTCGAACACGGAGTCTGGATGGTTGAATGTGTTGATTATTATTGGTTAGGGTGGTAAGGTACATGATTAGTAATGTTGGTCCTGTGAGCTGGGTGTTATCCTATGGATGGTAACCTGTGGCTAAGCGAATTTGTAGCAGAAAAATTATCTGAGGTGGGCCGATTAAGGTAGGTGATGGTTGAATTATTTTCCAATTTACATTATGTGTGCATGCTAACCATTTCATTAGTAATGCTTGTACAATACCTAATTATGAAGTTAAAAAGGGATGAAGGCGAAAAGATATTGTATTGTTAATCTCATGCCATTGAACTTGTTTTATTTGTTTGTGGTCTTACAAGTGTAGACATATTAATTGTGGTTGTGATTGTGGTGCGATATTGTGATTCTTGGTTGACCCATGTTCCATGCCTGGTAATAACTCAAGGTTGGCTTGGGTACCATGCTTGGTACATACTCTCGATTGGCTTGAGTACCACACCTGATATATATTATCGATTGACTCAGGTACCCTGCCTGATATATATTATCGATTGACTAAGGTGCCACACCTGGTACAATTTATTGGTTGGCTAATTAGGTACCACGTCGATACATGTTCTATATTGGTTGACTCAGATATCATGCCTAGTAAATACTTGAATGTTCACTGTGTGTGGGTTTTGTGAGTTATTTTTTAATTGGTATTCATTATATATCGGTCCATGAGTGGCCATATTTGTGAGTTAAATGTGGGATGGTCCTTGTGTAGATCGAGAATTGCAGGTTAAACACCATAAGTGATATTTTAGGAATCCTTGAGTGGTCAAGGTTACTTAATGGGTGTGCTTGTTAAATATTGCACTATATGTTGAGTTAAGTCAAGAAGGATGAGTAGGAGTTTGCGGGAGGTCCACTAAATTGATTAAGGGCCAAGGGCCAGGGTGTTGTAAGAATTTTAGTGGAGGTGACAGTCCATATGGCACAATTAATTGATAGATTTAAGTTCAAGAATGGAATCAGTGAGGTAATTCTAGTGCTTGATATCATGGACGGTTCGGGAAGTCTTTAGGTGATAGATGAGTTTGATTTGATGGATTAGGGTCCTAATTATATCTCCTAGTGTCATGTTTCTTTGATGGCCTGGAATGAAGAAGGACATATCAGAATATGTATCCAAGTATTAAAATTGGCAACACGTGAAGTATGAGCATCAAAGGCCTGAAGGATTGCTTCAAAGGATGCCTATTCCTGAGTGGAAGTGGGAAATGATAAGCATAGATTTCATGGTGGGTCTTCCTAACACTTTGGGCAAGTATGTTTTTATTTGGAACTAAGGATATTAGATCGCTAAAGGTTCAATGGAAACATCATCTGGTTGAAGAAGACACTTGGGAAACTAAGAAAGACATGCGGGACAAGTACTCTCACTTGTTTGAGCATTTAGGCACTACATTCATCACAATTTAGCTCACTTTTTCTTGTTAGATCATTCGGGGACGAACGACAGGTAAATTGGTATCTATTGTAACGACTATTCCAGTTGTTAAGGGCAAACTACTTTTAAAAGAAATTAGGTGAGAATACTTTTGGAATAGTAAGTTGAAAATTTCAGGCTAGGCTATTCTTAGACAAAATTTGAGCAAGGCAAAGTCTATAGAAATCTGCGAAAAGGATTGGATGAAACATCTAAGTAGATTTTTTTTTTTACAACTAAGACGTTAAGGAGTCCGCCAGACTTTTCAAAAGTGAATTCGGGTAAGTAAAACTCGCGATATTGAACTTGAAATGAATGATGAGTTGGTTTGATACTTCAAGGTTTGAAGGTGTGTTGCAAAATAAGCTAATTTGGGAGGCTATATGTGGTTCTATCCCATGCAAGCCACTATAGAAGGTGACACACCGCTATATAGGGTTGTTATAGCGAGGTTAATCATAGTTAATGTAGAAAATTCCCCAAAACCTCTTATTATTTTACAAGTGAATTTTGGGTAAGAGCAAAGGCGACCTAGAATGAATTTCATCAGTTTTCCATTGGAATCCTTTGTAAAAGTAAGTAAATCGCTCCATTAACTTGATACTTTGATTCCTAGGCCTAAGTGGAAGTATTTGTATCCCTAGGGGAGTGTTTGGGTTCATCTAAAGTGGAAAAAAAATTGGGTTAATGAGGATTTTGGGGTGTAAGACCTTGGGTTGTTGTAAAGAAGTTGTTCTTGATTTATTAACCACAATTCACTATTGTAACCATGAGATTGATAGTTCTAAGTGAATTAATGGTGGAAAAACCCTAGATTGGGTTGGAAAATTATGAGGTTGGCCTGAGCTTCGAAATTAATCTATAATCTAGGAATATTTAAGTCAATTGTGATTAATTTTGTACTGATGTTATTATTTTAGATCAAGAACAAGCTAAAACTTCATAAACAGAGCCAAAAGTTTGTGTTCAGATTTCTTCAACAGTTGTTTAGCGTCCAACTAGGCTAGGCTTAATTGAGTAGTTAGACATGTCTTTAATTGCATAATACCTTGTAAATTGCCATGAGATTGCATGTATAGGTGTTCAGTCACAGAGTCTGGGCGGATGAATGCGTGTTTATAGTTGTTTAGGATAGTAAAGTATTTATTGTTGTTGGGTGTTATTCTAGGGGTGTTAATTTCTAGGTAATTGGGTTATAAGCTAGAAAACTGCCCAGGAAGAGCCGTTTGGTATAGGTGATGGTTGTTTGGTTTCCCATTTATGTTATATGTGCTTGATAACTTATTTGTTAGTATTACATGTATATGCATGGTTAGGCAAATAAGAGAAGTATAAATTGAAATGATAGTTTGTTGTTAATCTCATGCATTGAATGTGTTTACTTTAGAGTACATGTGTAATTTTATTCATTGTGATTGTGATGTGTGATCTGTGTTTTTCATTTGGCTCGGGTACCATGCCCGTTGCTTTTTTAGGTACAATGGGACCAAGACAAAACACTGCACCACTGCTTGCTTCACCACATCCATCCCCAACTCAGAGTGAAATTAAGAGGGAATCTAGTAGCTCGAAGGTCTGAATAAATACTGAAATCGAAGATCACTCCCCTCGAGCTACCAGGTCACGAACATCAAGAGCTACTGTGCAGCACACTCCTTCCTAGTTTGAAGAGGAAGGCAGTGAGTCCGGAAGTGGTGAAGACTCTGATAGCGGTCATCAGGAGAGTGCAAATGAACCTCAACGAGATGAAGGTGTGGAAGACGATACAGGACCAGAGGAAGATAATAAGGCCCAAGAAGAGAATGATGATGATAGCGATGAGGGCACCGATGATACAATATGTCCACCAACGAGAGTCTGACCAGTAGTGAGGCAACAAATCATTGACTGCTTTCGCCGGATGTGGACAGTTCCCATGTCAGAAGACTTCTTTAAGAATGGCATAGTGTCAAATGCTAGAGGTTTTGGCGGGCGACCCATTATACCCGAATCCAGATTGATCGTGGCAAATATCTAGGCATTCCCATCAATTTATAGACTCTTCCAAATGCACCAGTTTGAATGGATGAACAACGTGCTGGGAGAGTTCACACACCATCTTACCAGAGAATTCTATGCCTCCTATGTGGCCATTTGAAATTTGCCGCAGATACTGAAACGACAAAGAGGGCATAAAAACTAGTTGCAGCCACTTGGGGACCATTAAATACAGTCTCGTTGAGGGGTCAGACCATGGATATCTTTGAGGCCACGATCAACAGGATGCTACATAGCCCAGAATACACTGCACCAACCTCAGTAGGATTATTTGAAGGCCAGCACCATGCAATGACTAGTGACACGGAGATGGAGGATTCGAGTTCGAGGGAGCGCTTTATGGGATAGATTGCTGGGTATATTGCCACCGAGGGAGAGGCTGCAACATGGGTATCAGAGGCGCATGTATAGATTACGAAGGCGTCACTCTCCTTTCCTGCCAAGGTTTTATGAAGTTTCCTTATAATTTCAAAATTCATTGACCAAGTTCATGTTTTTAAGACATCTCTTCAAATGTGTTACTATGCTTAGCTTGGTCATGAATTTCATGTTTTTGATTATCTCCCCTTATGATAATGTTTTACGTT